CCAGCAGGAGGCAAATAAAGAAAACACCTCAACAAGGTCACAATGGCCAGGACCAATTGAAGACACAGTGCTGGGGACCCAGGGAGGCAACAGGCAATCTGAGAGGGCTCCCGGGAGGAGGTGAGGGCCCTGGAGCCCCACTCCAGCCTGCTCAGCCCTACCCCCTCCTCAACGGGTCCCTCACCCAGCTTCAGCCTTGGCCTGACATTTCCCGTGACATTTGCTGCAAAGAAATAGAGTCATAAATCCAAAGGTTAAATTTGCACATTGCCTCGCACTGCTGGGAGAAGCAGTGGTCCCTCCACCCACCAGGTGCCCTGAGGGTGCGGGGTTTGTGTGGGACAGCCCACCCATCCTGGGGCCCTTGCTGGGGGCCCAAAGATCTCCCCTTTTGGCCTTCCGAGGGGCCTCAGCCATGGTTTCCTAAAATGGGTTCCTAGGCACACCAGGCCCTGAAACACATCAAATGGGGTGTCTGTCAGAGAGGGCACTGCCCACCCCACTCCACAACCGAGGCCCTAAAATGCCCTGCTGAAAAGGAGCTCTGCTGATACCATTTAACCCAGTGGGCCCCAAATTTGACCACAAAACCCTTCACCCTTATTCAATACCCACCAACACTTCGAGGAACCGCAATTCCATGCAGCATGATCCGTGACGGCCAGTTAAGAATGCCAGGCGGCTGACCAGAGACCCAGGAGCACTAGGGGCACAGGGCGGGCTACTCTGAACAAGGGTGGGTCAGCTCCTGACACCCCACATCCCAGCTCAGCCTAGCTCCACATGCCCGTGGGGCTCCCTGCCTGCCAGGCCCGCCTGGGCCAACACACTCAGCACCTCCCCGAGGCCACTCCGGGAGGTCTGCCAGCCGTGGGCTGCCTCCATCAGATGGCACACAGCTGTGGGATGGTGCCACCATCACCCCCAGCAGGCCATAGTGGGGGAGGCCAGACAGAGGCTGTGTGAAGTGGGCAGGAGTGAGGTGGTGGTCGCTGCACAAATGGCCATCCTCAGAGCCGGAATCCGGGTCGACAGCGGAAGCAAATCCCACTCACTGTGATCGCTCACGTGGCGGACCCACGTTTGTCAAAGGCCTCAGCGGGCCTGGGAGGGGCATGGGATCTGGCCCCATGCCCCATCCCCAGAAGTCGACCCAAGTGTCAGGGGGAGGGGCACGTGACCAGCCCCTAGACCTGGCAGATGCCAGCTGAGGGCATGCTGGGGTGGGCATGTGGAGCTGTGTCTGCCTGTGCCCAGTACATGGCTGAGGGCAGTGCGGGAGGCCGACGCAGGTTTGGGTAAATAAATGGTGGCGCATTCTCAGGAAGGGATTCCACGTGCACCGGTAACCCATGATGCACAAGAACAGTCCCCAATGTGCAAAATGTTAAAAATACGGTGATAAAAGAAGTCACTGCAGCACAGAACGTCTGGTGTGTTGGGACCCGGCTGGGCCCCGGGACTGTGCAAGGAGTTGCAGGGGGTCAGACTGTGTGCCCACCACCCCAGCGGGGGTTGCCCTTGCCACTCTGTGACCATCTGTCCTTTAACGCATCTAATCCCAGAAACATATGAAGGCAAGGACCACATCTGCCTGGCTCAGGGTATGATTTCACAGGCCAGGAACGAATGAATGAGTGAATGGATGGCCGGGAGCAAATGCCGTCTCTGGGATGTCGCTGCTGGAAGGTGCCAGCGAGACCTGGCTGGGGTGTGGGTGCAGCAGGCTGCAGGACAGGGGCACTGCCTGACCCTCTGAGTGCCCGGGGGTCAGAGGTCATGGCTCAGCAGGTGGCGGGCAGGGAGGGCAGAATGAACTGATTGACCCAGCATAGCCAAGTGCCAGGAGCCCTTGGTAACCTGAGACAGAGCCAGGGCGGGTCGCTGCTCACACACTGGCCCTGTCACACACACTGGGTCACACCCTGGCTCACTCACCCAGGTCACCCTGGAACTGCTTCCTGTGCTCCCTTCTCCTCACCCCTTTCCCGGATGCACAGACCGAGGCTCCCAGGGGGACTTTCTGGGCCCCAGGCCAGGACAGCAGGAGGGCTCCCTCTGCCTCCTGCCCAGCCTGGCCTCGCCAGCCGGACCCTCCTGGTGCTGCACTGGCTGCCCACGAATTCAAGGCCGGGGGGACATGGAGGGGATGGCGCTGGGGGCTGTGTCGTCAGTGGGCAGTGAGGTGGGGGTGTGGCACAAGCCCTGCCCCTCACAAACAGTCTGTCACTAGCAGCAACAGCAAACCAACCCCGGGCGCCTCCATGGTCAGTCCCCAGCCTCCCAGGACAGCAGGACCTTCCTCCACCCTCCAGGGTCCCTGCCCATCCTTGTGGGGGAGCCTCTCCCGCTGAGACCTGCTGGCCCAGACTCCCCTCGCATTCCTCTCCCCTTCCTCTCACTGCATAACCACAGGAAGAGGGCCATTCCTTACGGAAGGACCTCAGCATGAGGAAACTGAGGCTTAGAGGTCCTGCAGGCACCCAGCTGGTGATGGGCAGGGCAGGGAGGCTGCCCACCTTGGGAAACACCCTTCAGTGCCTCCACACCCTGCCGCCCCCCCATCTAGCTCCCTACTCTACTCACCTGTGGCCCTGGCTGAGTTGCCTGACTCCAGGGGCTTTAACTGCCGCTTCTTCGAATGGGTAGGTGGGGGGGCCCCATGGGCAGCACCAGGGTTCCGGAGGATCCCCAAGGAGTGGGAGTGGTTGTGGAGGGTGGAGGTGTTTTGGGCATTTTGAAGGCAGAAGCATCGGAGTCCGAACTCCATGGGGGAAGCTGGGCTGACTTCACAGGGCCTCAGCCTCAAAGTGCCTCCAACAGTCCCCAGTTACTGGCCAGTGTCACAGGTGAGGAAGACTGAGGCAGGGAGAGGTGACCTGTCACACCCAAGGTCACACAGCCAGCAGGTGGCTGAGCCTAGACCCAAACCGGGCCCCAGTTCTGCCATGCCAGGCCCTGCGCGTGCCCCTCTGCCGGGGGCAGGGGGACGGCTGTCTAGGTGCTGACCTCCACCCAACTTGGTCTTGGCACAGGGGCTCACTTCCTCCTCACCTCGCTGGAGCAGGATGGGGACAGTGCCTGCTTTATAGATGGGATGACCGGGGCTCAGAAAAAAGCAGTGGCCAGCCCCACTGCTCACAGGGCCCGCCTGCAGCTGCCCCTCGTTGGCATGTTTCACCCCCACATGTCCTGCTAGGATGCCCTGCCTGTCCCCACTCTAGCAGGAGGTGTGGCCCGCAGCCGGGGGTCCTCCCCACAGTGTGAGTGGGTCACCGGCGCCCTCACCCCTCACCCGGCATGGTGGGTCTGCTCAGTGCTCAACGCAGCCGGAAGCAGGTGAGACCACATAGGAACCCTCACCGAGAAGGTCCCGGCCATGGAGAAAGCAAGGCACTGGAGACAGGCCCCTCTGAGGTCACCTGCTCCAGTCATCCGAGCTGCAGTGGTGGCTGAGCGTGCCCAGGGTCTGGCCTGTTTATCTCAGTGTTGACCTTAAGGTTTGAAATGGGTCTTCCCTGCCCAGGCTGGTTCCAGCCCCGCATGGGCTACCACTGCCCCAGCACTGGTGGGCGGGGAGTGGCTGGGAGACTCTGCACCGCACACCTGGGGGTGGGGGCACTCCACAAGCCCCCAGTACACATTCCAGGCCCTCCGCTCCAGATTCGGTCACAGCCCGCTTGGGCAGACAAGGGGCACTGACTCCCGGAGGCAGAGATATATGCCGATGTGCCACAGGCACACCTGGTCACACACATAGACACACACGTGCAGACGCATATGAAGTTACGCATGCACACACACACACACACATACACACACACGCCGAGGGGCTGTGAAGGGGACACGGGGGGTAGAGACAGGTGGCACTAAGGGTGTCTCGTCCTTGTCTGTGGCCCCAGCTGCCCTGAGCCTCCCCCAAACACAGGAGCATGTGGGCGCGGGAGTGGGTTTCGTTAGAGGGGCCCCAGCAGGTGCCAAGTGGAGACTGTGGCAGGCAGGCTGCACGCATGCATGTGTGTGGCCGTGGGCGTGCAGGCAGGGGCGAGGACACGGATGTGCGCCCACATGGTCCATGTGTGCACCGACAGTGTTTGTGCGTGTGCATACTGGGGCAGCAGTGGTGTGCATGTGCACATGCCCTGTCCAAGCGTGCAGCTCGTGTAGACACGTGCACGTGCAAGGAAACGTGTGCAGCCTGCCGCAGCAGCAGGGCGGCCTGGTGGGCACCTGGGAAGCACCCTCCAGGCACGGCGCCCTAACTCACATGGACCCCACCCTCCCTTGCCCCCACTTCCCGGACCTCACACCGGGTTGGGGGAAGGGTCCCAGGAGGGCTGCCAGGAATGGGATGCTGCGAGCACCACCGCCCCTCGCGCCCCTCAGCCAAGTCCCTCAGGGGCTCTCAGGCTGCAGATGGGGGGACGCTACTGCCTTCTCTGACGGCCGGCCCTGGGGAGGCGGCGCTGGGACGCCCCTGTGCCCCACGCCCTCTACGGCTGCCAACGCCCCCATTCATCCCTCTGCGGCCTGACCTCAGAGAAACAGGAGGCTCTGGGCTGAGTTCCGGGCGAAGCGGGGGTGGAGGCAGCCCGACACCCCACCTCCGCTCGGTACCCACGTTTCAGCAAATCCCGCTCATTAACCCCTTCGCAGCGGGGCGCTCCGAGGCCAGACCACGCCCTTCCAGCCCGCAGCCCCCACCCCGGACCTGGGCCAGCCTCAGGGACCCCCGAACCACCACCCCTGGCCCCACCGTGGCCGTCAACTTTCCCGGGAAGCGGCAACTTTTCCTGCTGCCGCCGGCTCCGCCCTCCCTGGGCCAGGGCGCCCGCAGCCCCAGCCCGGCGCAGCACTGCGGTGGCCCTCCCGTCCGCCCGGCTACGCTCCCCGTGCCTCGGCAGCCCCGGACGGGCCCTGCGCCCCGGGAGGGTCGAGCCGCCCCTCTGCCCCTGCCCCCACCCCTGCCGGCCGGGCTCGGGCGCCGCGCGGCCACTCACCTCCGGCGGACGCCCTCTTCATTGTAGGGGTCGGGCGGGGCGCGTCGGGGACCGAAAGTCGCTTCGGGGCGGGCGCCCGTCTCCCCGCGGCCGGGTCCGCATCCAGGCGCCGCCGCTCCGGCCCGGCCCCGGCCCGGCCGCGGGACGAGGCTCGGCGCGCTCCGCTCTGCCCGCCTCGGGCTGGGCTCGGGCCGCGGGCGCGCAGGGCGAGGGCGGCGGCGCGGACTGGCGGG